CTTTGTCGTTTTCAAGTTTTAGCAATTGTGAATAAAGCTGTTATAGACATACATTTGCAGGTTTTTGTGTGGACATAAATTTTCAACTCTTTTGGGTAAATACCAAGAAACGTGATTGCTGGATGAAATGGTGAGAACATGTTTAGTTTTGTAAGAAACCACCAAACTGTCTTGCAAAGTGGCTGTACCGTTTTGCATTCCCGCCGCCAGCAATGAATGAGAGCTCCTGTCACTCCACATTCTCTCTGGCATTTGGTGCTGTCGGTGTTCTGGATTTTGTCTACCCTAGCAGGTGTATGCAGAGTTTCTTTTGGAGTGATAAAAATTCTCTGGAATTAGGTGGTGATGATGGTGGCACAACTTTGTAAATAGATTAAAAACCACTGAATTGAACATTTTTAGAGAGTGAACTTTATGGTGTGAATTATATCTCAATTTGTTAAGCGTAAAAAAAAAAAAAATTTGCCAGGCACAGTGGCGCATACCTGTAGTCCCAGCTAGTCAAGAGGTAGGGGTGGGGGCAGGGCAGGAGTTCAAGGCCAGCCTGGGCAACATAGTGTGAGCCTGTCTCAGGATTTTAAATGTTATAACAATTGTAACTGATTGTTAGAACTTTCACTCTGACCCCATCGCTTTCTGAGTGTTTTCTCCAAATATGCAGGAATGGATGATTTCCTCTCTATGCTTTTTTTTTTTCCTTCTTAGACAAAGCTTTTAGCAGAAAGTGAAATTTACAAAACTCAATTAAATGGCAATTAGCCTCCCTGCCATTTGATTCCAGACAATTTTTCTACAAGACTGGGGCATGTCTGTTAATTGTGTTTCTTTGAAAAAGTTACAAATTGTAAAAACATACCTCTAATCCTTTAGCCCACTAACTTCAGGAGTGTTTTATAATCCTACATCCATTTATAATATGAGAAACTCAGGCACCTACCTGACTCACATCAACTGTTCTCTAAGGATGGCTACAAAAACAAAAGTCATCAAATCCCTATAGTGGTCCAGTTGCCCTCTCTGTGGACACTTAAGGTAATTATTACTGACGTTGGACTGGAAAACTACACTAGAAAGAGACTGGATGAATGTCAATCTCTCAAAATTGATGAAAAGTATATAGTTATTAAAACCATGTCTCATATCTTGGCTGAGTCCCAAGAAGACAAATACCTTGTCCTGAGAATATGATTAAATATACTCTTTATCTTTCATTTGGGTTTATCTCAGGGCTCTATATAATAGTAACTTTTTTGTAAAATTGACTCTCTACCCTTCTTGCCAATCTAATATTAAACTTTAAAGTCTCTCTCCTAAGCCCGCCCACTTTTGCTGCACGACAGCAAATCTCATGCCCGCCTTGCTCTGGGCAACAATCCTCAGTGTCTTACACAGTGCCTGGGCTTTAGTAGGCCCTCAATAAATTCGTATTCTCTGAATTAATGTGTGAATAAATGAATGGATGCACCTGTGCATTCAGTAAAACACTAATCTAAAGGTATAAAAGCCACTCTGCTTTAAGTTTTACTTGTGCGGTGGGTTTAAATCAGGACTTGGAATAAAGATCTACAAGCAGCCATCCTGGAGGAAGAATGAGAGGACACTGGAAGATACCAATAAAAGTCATTCAAGGATGTACTAAAAGCCCAGACTTTACCATCATACAATATATCCATGTAACAAAACTCCAATTGTACCTCCTGAATCTATTGACATTTAAAAAAAGTAAAAGGATTTAAAAAATCATTCAAGAGACAAATCGAAAATACAGAGCATAAAGTAATTTGATTATTTGTTTAGTAGAAGGCATAGGAAGACCCCATCAGACTCCATTCATTCATTCATTCACTCACTTGATAAACATTTTTTTTTTTTTTGAGACAGAGTCTCACTCTGTCATCCTGGCTAGCGTGCAATGGCATCATCATAGCTCACACCAACCTCAAACTCCTGGGCTCAAGTGATCCTCCTGCCTCAGCCTCCCAAGTAGCTGGGACTACGGGTGCATGCCACTGCCTCTAGCTAATTTTTCTGTTTCTTTGAGACAGAGTCTCACTTTGTTGCCCTGGCTAGAGTTGGGCTAGAGTGCCGTGGCATCAGCCTAGCTCACTATAACCTTAAAGTCCTGGGCTCAAGCAATCCTCCTGCCTCAGCCTCCCAAGTAGCTGGGACTACAGGCATGTGCCACCATGCCTGGCTAATTTTTTTCTAATTTTAGTAGAGATGGGGTCTTGCTCTTGCTCAGGCTGGTCTCGAACTCCTGACTTCAAGGGATCCTCCTGCCTTGGCCTCCAGAGTGCTAGGATTACAGGCATGAACCACCTGGCCTGATAAACATTTTTGGAGTGCCTACTATTTGTGGCTGCCAGTATTCCTTGGCTTGTGGCCTCATCACTCCAATCTTCAAGGCTAGCATCTTCAAATCTCTGCTATATCTTCACATCATCTTCTTCTCTCCATGTTGTTTAGTCACACTCTGCCTCACTCTTTTTTTTTTTTTTTTTTTTTGAGACAGAGTCTCACTTTGTTGCCCAGGCTAGAGTGAGTGCCGTGGCATCAGCCTAGCTCACTATAACCTTAAAGTCCTGGGCTCAAGCAATCCTCCTGCCTCAGCCTCCCAAGTAGCTGGGACTACAGGCATGTGCCACCATGCCTGGCTAATTTTTTTCTAATTTTAGTAGAGATGGGGTCTTGCTCTTGCTCAGGCTGGTCTCGAACTCCTGACTTCAAGGGATCCTCCTGCCTTGGCCTCCAGAGTGCTAGGATTACAGGCGTGAGCCACCGCGCCCGGCTGCCTCACTCTTAAAAGAATATATGTGATTGCATTTAGTGATATCCGGGGTAATCTCCCCATCTCAAGATCCTTAATTATGTCTTCAAAGATTTGGCTGAGTCAAAGGGTCTGTTTAGCATAGTTTGGCAGTTATTAAATTGACCCCCAGATTGGCTGTACTATTTTACAGTCCTACTAGAGTTGTATGAGAATGCCTTTCATTCACCTTCCCCAACACAGTGTGTTATTAAAATGTGTTGTTGGCCAGGTGTAGTGGCTCACGGCTGCAGTCCTAGCACTCTGGGAGGCCGAGGCAGGAGGATCACTTGATGTCAGGAGTTTGAGACCAACCTGAGCAAGAGCAAGATCCTGTCTCTACTAAAAATAGAAAAAGTAGCCAGATGTGGTGGCATGCACCTGTAGTCCCAGCTACTCAGGAGGCTGAGGCAGGAGAATCCCTTGAGCCCAGGAGTTTGAGGTTGCTGTGAGCTAGGTTGACACCATGGCACTCTAGCCCAGGTGACAGAACAAGACTCTGTTTCAATAAATAAATAAATGAACATTTTTAAAAATGTGTTGTCTTTGCTAATGTGATAGATGAAAAATTCCTAAGTAAAGTTTTAGTTGAGTATCTTTTCACATTTAAAAGCCATTGGTGGCTGAGTGTTGTGGCTCACGCCTGTAATCCTAGCACTCTGGGAGGCCAAGGCAGGCGGATCGTTAGAGGTCAGGAGTTCAAGACCAGCCTGAGCAAAAGCAAGACCCCCCTCTCTACTAAAAAATAGAAAGAAATTACCTGGACAACTAATATATATATATATATATATATATATATATATATATATATATATAGCCAGGCATGGTGGCGCATGCCTATAGTCCCAGCTGCTCTGCAGGCTGAGGCAGTAGGATTGCTTAAGCCCAGGAGTTTGAGGTTGCTGTGAGCTAGACTGACGCCACAGCACTCACTCTAGCCGGGGCAACAAAGTAAGATTCTGTCTCAAAAAAAAAAAAAAAAAAAAAGCCATTTGTATTTCTGGTTATAGGCTGTTAAATCCAACTGTAAGTTAGCTAATAAAATATAAAGGGCAGGTTTCTTGGACAAGAATGAATACCAGAGGGCATAGCTTTATTTATTTATTTGTATCATGGTAAAATACACATAACAGAATTTTTTCCATTTTAATTATTTTTAAGTTTATACAATTCAGTGGCATCAAATACATTTACAGTGTAGTACAATCATGACCACTACCCATTTCCAGAATATTTTCATTGTCCCAAACTCTGTACCCATTAAACAACAACACCCCATCTTCCCCCTCTTCCCAGCCCCTGGCAATCTCTACTCTACTGTCTTAACCTCTGTTCTACTTTCTTAACTTCTATCCTACCTTCTGTCTCTATAACTTTGCCTATTTTAGGTAACTCGTGTAGGTGGAATCAAATCATACAGTATTCTTTTGTGTCTGCTTTATTTCACTTAGCATGTTTTCAAGATGCATTCATGTTCTATAACATGTATCAGAACTTCATTCCATTTTATGACTGAATAATATTCCATTGCATGTATATACTGCATTTTGTTTATCCATTCATCTGTTGATAGACACTTGGGTTGTTTACACCTTCTGAATGAACCCTGGTGGACAAATTTCTGTTTGGGCCCCTGCATTCCATTCTTTGGGGCATATATATGCCTAAGAATAGAATTGCTGGATCATATGGCAATTTTATGCTTAACTTTTTGAAGAACCACCAAACTGTTTTGCAAAGTGGCTGCACCATTTTAAATACCCACCAGCAGTGAATCAGGGCTCCAATTTCTCCACCTGCTAACCAAGACTTGTTATTTTCCATGTTTTAAAAATATGTAATAGATATCCTAATGGATATGAATTGGCATTTCATTGTGCCTATTTATTTGTAATTTCCTTGTTCAGTAGTAGAAAATTTTCATACGAAATGCAGGCGTGTCTCCAGGTCACACTTATTCCACACTGCCTAATGATCACCCGTACTTCTTTTCCAATAGCATTTAGGATCCTGCCTTCAAAATTATTTCCATTAGTGGCTTCTTTATCTCTGAACCACCATTGCTTGGTTTAGCATTTGCCTCATCGAAGCAGAAGTGCTATCTAGTGGCCCGAGAGAGTAACTGCAGGGGAGCCCCCATTTTCACTTGTGTCTAATCGTAACAGAGATCTTGATATATTTTATTTACCTGGTGATGCCCAACGCGTAGTGCCATGAAAGGCAAGATCCAAGTCTGATTCAGAAAGGGCTGCTTCTGCAAAGATTATAGAGATGGGCTTTCGCTCCAAATGGCAATGCATTCTCCAGTCTCCTCTTAATTGCACCCTTCCTAAAATAGGAATAATACAAGTGCAGCTGACATTTTAAATGCAACTGGTTTTGTTCAATATTCTGTCCAAAAAAGAAACAATTTCATTTTCTGCCAGTCTCTTCCTTCAATCACTCCCTATTGAATCTTCCTTTTCCACCCTTAAAAGACATTCCTAGCAAACCTCTTCACTCTCACGTGTCTTCAGTTTTCCTGAAGTCCCTTTTAGGGCCATCTCGTGCATCATCTCCTCCAGCACCCCCCAGTAAGTTGAGGTCTGGAGTGCGGAGGGAGAATGGTCTGTGGGGAGTGGTTTGCTCTTCCCTGCTGTCCCTCCCCACTCCCTTTAAAGCTCTTTTGATGTTTAGGGCAGAGACTAGAAACTAGGGGAAAGGAACACATCCTGCCCAATTTTCCAACATAGAAAAATGGACCCTTGCTTGGACTTTTCCAACTGTCCTTCCCTTGGCTCATAACCCCAGCTAAGTTCCAAAGGGTCCACTCAATTAATTCTTGCTTCTATAAGGAAGATTCTAGAACATAAGAAGTTCAGGCTCCTTTATTTTGCCTCCTCCCTCTGCCTCTCCACTCCTGCACCCCAACCGTCTCTCTCCCATTTTTCTCCCTTTCCTCAGAGATCACAACTATAAGAAAAAGGAATAGGTATCACTCTTAGAAGAGGAGATTATGTTATCATTTTTTACAAGTAATGGTAACTGCAAACCTAAAAAAAACCCCAAGCATTTGAACTAAAAAATTATTAGAGCCAACAAGCATTCCAAATGATAGCCCAATATAAGATCAATGTACATACACACAAAAAATCAATAGCGTTCCATTATACTAGCAACAGCCATTGAGCTAGTGTTAAGGAGAAATGATTCTTGTCCAGTAACAATAAACTAGCAAGTTCCCAGAAATGAATGCAGCAAGAGCAGGGGCCGCATAAAGAAAACTATAAAGCTTGACTACAGACATAAAAACAAGACTTGAATAAGAGAATGGAGAGGTATGGCTTTTTCCTAGATAAGAAGCATCACTGCTGTAAGAATTCCATTTCTTGCCAGATTAACACAAAAATGAAAAGCAAGACAAATAAACTGTGGTGTCTCCATACAGTGGAAATCTACTCAGTGATGAGAAGGAATGCACTACTGATACAAGCAACTACATAAATGAATCTCAAAACCATTATGCCAATACAAATGTATCTGAAAGAAGCCAGACACAAAAGAGTATATGCTATATGATTGCATTTATAGAAAATTCTAGAAAGAGGAAAAAATGAAAGCAGCTGGTGTTGGAGATGAGTGTGAGGATCGATTGCAAAAGGACATGAAAGGCCTTTTGGGGGCTAAAGAGAATGTTCTCTATCTTCATTACACTGGCAGTTACATGGTGTATATATTTGTCAAAACTCATCTAAATGTATCCCTAAAATGGTACGTTTTCTTGTATGTAAATTATGCCTCAATAAGTTGGAAAAAATGAAATGTGAGTCAAATTGAAATAGCATTCAAAAAAAAAAATCCCAACTTAAGGGATGGGGGACAGGTGCGGCAGAGACATAAGAACTGAAAATAAAATTCTTTGGGAAGAATAAAGGCATGAGACCAGCTAAGAAAGAAAGCATAAACCCAGAGAATCCATCGACAAGTCCGTAGCCCAAATAGGCGGGCACCCTGACCACCCTGGGAATGAGATGCTTCAAATTGTCCCTTCGGGTAGGCACCCTCCATCTCTAAGAAATGTTTCCCACAGGGAGAAGGAGGACCAGTCCTAGCCTTTGCTTGTCCCATTCCTCCCCCAACATACAACCTGGGATACTGGTTGGCATAGCATGAGGCTGTGGAGAACAACATAGTTAGGTTCCTTATTTTAATTAAAGAGGGGGACCTCAACTGTTTTCTTCTCTCTTTGGAACACGGAGTCCCTGATGCTTTTTTTATTCTTAGTTTTGAGTCGTGGTGCCTACCTCTGCAGCTGTCCTGTTACAAAAGGCAAGCAAGAGACTCAAACTCCTTTAGGATGCTCCTTATATTATGAAGGTCTCCAAGTATATATTATTTTATGGCATAAAAACACAGGCCACCTATAAACCCAAATAGATTCTAGAAATTTAAGAGAAAAAATATGCAAATATTAGATGAAAGATTCTAGTACATCCTAAACAGGAAATAAGAGAATGGCAATGAGTTGATTTTGTGAACCCTCATGGTTTGCTTTTATTTAAGATAAAACTCTTAAAAAGAGAGAACAATGGATTGATGCATCTACATACTTTGTGTTCACTGGGGATAAAAGCAAGACGGAGCCTTAATGTGACCAATTTCTCTGGGCATAAAGGTTTTCCACAAGCTTCAGGCATTTCTCTTTCCATTGGTGTGCTTGGTGGTGTATTTTTAGAATTGAAATTTCTCCTTCAGGGGTGGTGTGGTTTAAAGATGATTGCTCTTTCAAGGTAGTTTTCTCTCCGTTAGACCATTACCGGGGTCTAAAGATCAGCCTTTGAAAATAAAGGTTTTGTGCCTCCAAGAACATAATTCCCAGCTTCCGTTCCTTTGCCAAGTAAAAACCATTTCTAGCAATAAAAAAAAAAAAAAAAAGATAACACCTCTGAGATTCTCCACTCAGTTTTTCACTCTGTATTACTAAGGTTTTCAAAGAACAAGAAGTCATCACAATTTAAGATTTACTGGAAATCATTATTACAGTCAATCAATGACAGAAATTGGGGCTTGTCTCTCCATGATAACTTCCAGAGGCAGTCTTTTGTTTTCTGAGCTACTAGAGCATCTCTCTGTTCACTGATACAAGTCAATAAAATGAGAGCAACGCTATAAGTTGCTGCCAAGTGCCTGCTACGAATTGAACGGAGCGTAGCACTCGGGTCTGTCTGTGTCATCTATTGCTGTGTAACGTCATTGCCACAAACTTAGCGGCACGAAACAGCTTGCGTTTATTATCTCACAGTTTCTGGGAGGCTGGAGTTCAGGCACAGCTCAACCGAGTGCTCTGCAGAGCTGCAAAGTCTTGGCCAAAGTAGTGGTCTCATATCAAGGTTCGACTGGGAAGAATCTGTTTTAAGCCACACGGTTGCGGTAGCTGCGGTTTCTCGATGACCGTCAGTGGGGGCTTCCCTCATCTCCTTGCCACGTGGCCCGTCCAGAGAGCAGCTTGCTGGACAGCAGTTTGCTTCCTCAAAGCCAGCAGGGGAGAGACTCTCTCCGCAAGTCAGACACGACAATCTCACGTGACTTAAAATAACAGAAGCGACAACCTGTCACCTTTGCCATATTCTGGTTCAAGGCAAGTCACAAGTCCTGATCAGGCAAGGGCAGGGGCTCACTCGAGGATGTGAACCAAAGATCCACACTGCTACTCTGCCGGGCACACTGCTCGATACTCTCCAGTGGGACATATTAATACCTGTCTCTAGGAATGTAAGTGTGAGTATGTGGAGGTCCCTCCATGGGCCAACGGACGTTGTCTGACATGAGCGGTGACACAAAGAATAATGAGGCATGGTATTCAAGACATGTACAATCCAGATGAAAACTTCCCTACAGTCTTACCAAAGAAGGTGAGGGAGTGTAAACGTAAAAGGCATAGTGGACAGCTCTTGTCCACCATGCTTGAAGTTTTAAATAATCAATATGCACTATTTGTGTGACAATAAAAAAATATTTTTTTAATTACCTACAAATGGGAGCATAAGCTAGGAGTTAAGAGTAGATATCCCTTATCCTACCTTCTGAAATGGAATCCCAAATGTCCTTTGTGAACCCTCCCACCCCACCCTCCCCTCCACCCCTTCTCAACCATAACTACTTGGCGGATTGATCCAACTTTTCTCCAGATATGGGCCTGTATCCACCACCAGCCAATCAATTTATTCCATACTTTTTCCCCTACAGTGATTGGTTCATGATTGAGGCAGCAACCAACCAAAGGAGATGTTTACTGTGGTTTTGGGGAAGGAAAACTCCCCTCTGAGGAAGGTTCCAGAAGAGTCTCTATTTTTACCAGTGCTGCTTGTAGAAATATGTGAGCCTCATATACAAATTTCAATTTTCTAGTAATCACATTTCGAAAAGCAAAAATAAAAAGGTAAAGTTAATTTAATAATATATTTATTTAGCCCATATATAGCCAAAATATTATCACTTCAATGTGATAATGTGTACTTAGTATAAAAATTATTAATAGACATTTTACATTCTTTTTTTTTCATACCGAGTCTTTGAAATCTGAGATGGATATTTTATATCTATAGCACTTCTCAATTCAGACTAGCCACAGTTATCAGAACCACATGTGGCTAGTATCTGCTATGTAGCCCTGGACACTACAATCTGAGGATACGAAACTAGATCTGCTATCCCATTTTGACACCGCAGGTATGTGGGAGGGGCGGAGTTTAGAATGAAAATGACATCTAAGAGGGAAAAAAGAACTAGAAATAAACTGGGTCCTCCCTGATATTGTTTGAGTCACTAGATCAAGCTTTCTTTAAATCAGCATGAGTCAGAAGCTCTTAGTTATGTGAGCCAATAAGTTAGTTCACTTTACTATTTAAATTTATTCAAGTTGAAATTTATTTTTTTTCTTTATTTTGAGATAGAATCTCACTCTGTTGCCTGGGCTAGAGTGCCATGGTGTCAGCCTAGCTCACAGGAACCTCAAATTCCTGGGCTTAGGCGTCCTCCTGCCTCAGCTCCCGAGTAGCTGAGACTATAGGCATGCGTCACCACACCCAGCTCATTCTTGTATTTTTTGTAAAACAGGGTCTCACTCTTGCTCATTTCTTGAAATCCTGACCTCAAGGATCCTCCCAAAGTGCTAGGATTACAGGCATGAGCCACTTGAGCCACCTGAGGCCTGGCCTCAAGTTGAAATTTCTATCACTTCCAATAGAAGAATCTCAACTGACACTGAGAGTGAGTAATAAGATAAAGCAATTGATTAAATGCCCAAACTGAAAAATGGACAGTTACATCAAGTGTGCAGAGAAAGGAGAA